TGTACGGATGAAATTACAGTGGTGGCCGGGATTTCGCTCGGCCAGCAAAATGTAGCGCATCCAGATAGGTCCGTGCTTGAAAATCGAGGCAATCATGCGGGAGAAACCGGAACGCGATGCCAGTCAGAACCGCGGCCGTCTAATCAGCCGATTGCACCGAGGAAATACCGTTCCCATGGAATGTTAATGCGATCTACACCAACGATCCTTAGAAACCGCGGGTTCCGCTCGCATCTGAAGCTGTGCAAAGCGCCAAGACGACCCACTTCAGCCTCGCACGCACGTATCGTTGCGCAATAACGCCATTCTGGTGGCTTCCCTCGATTATCCACAAGCACACCGACTATGTAGCCAGCCCAGGGACAAGGCCCTTTCTCCCTTGTCCAAAGGGTCTTTCCAGTTTTAATGGAGATGTTCGCTTCCTCCTCATTATCTCTTCCGCGTTTCAACGTTAGAAGCGTGATACCAAACCGAGCCCTCGTCTTTCTCCAGATGCTTACCCGCTGATTTCCTTCACGGAGACACACCGTACGACTCGCATAAGAAATTTACTCATTGCTATTACCGAGGCCGCACTTACCTAAGAATAGCTTTCCAACTGTTCCTTTCGGTATTCGTGTCCAGTGAAATGTTTAAGGCTTGACCTTTCAATGAAACAGAATCGAATCAACCTGATGGTAATCTGATGTAGATGATAGGTTCGGAACCGTCAATTTTCGAATTGATGCTGGCTCTTAGGTCGTAAAAAATAAGGCTGGCGAATTATTTTCCAAGCGCCTTGCACGAACACCTACACACCTAAGATACCCATGTGAGCTAGGCACGACAGAAGAGGACAAGGTTGACCTTACTGTCTGTCGAACAATGAGACAATTTTTATCGGCAAATTCTTAACGTCCTGCACAGTAAGAATTTGTGAAACATCGTGTACAGACTACTGAGAAACTTGTTTACACTATTTTCGCAGAGTGCTAAATTTATACATTGAGTTTTTGTATTTTGTTGGATAGTATAAGTGAAAATCATACATCCTTGATAACCAGTGTATGTGACTTAATACAACTTCGTACAGTCTACTGTGTATACAAAGTGGGGATTCATTCAAACGTACTACAAAAAATAGCGACCACAGCGATGCAAAGATAAATATTGACAAAAGCAGTGAACACTTCGAAAACCTTCTGTTGCGAAGAAATGTTTATTTAACAACCTTTAACGACAGCTTGCTGAAATTGCCTCAACGAAAAATATTAAAAAATATTTGCCTCACAGCATGTCCTCTCTCCACATCATACAAGCTTTGCATACAAACTTCTTTCACATCATGACAAATAACGGAAACTTTTGAGGTAGACAAAGTTATTGCCCCCGTATAGTAAGAATTCGGCAGGCTTCACGTCGGTCCAAGTCCAAATTCGAATCATCAACAGTACTTAGACACTGTGGACGCGAAACGATGGCTTCAGGTCACCCGCTTTGACGTTTCAAAGTGAAAATCAAAAAGTGTCGATTGTTCTCTACGACTAAGAAAAAAACAGCAGATATTTCGATAGGACAGCCAGGATAATAGAGACAGGCCCTCTAGGAGCCACGTACACCTCTTCAATTTGTAAGTTGATTCGTTCTTGCCGAGATCAAATCCTTGCTCCCCTTTCCAAGGTTTCCCGGACACGAATGCATAGCTATGCCACTTTTAATACGGTTCCGCCTGGGCAAGGACCTCTCGACCCTGCCTCAGGTCGAAGCGCGGAGCTTGAGGGTCGTCGCGAGCGACCAGCTGGCAGAGACCTTTCGCTTAGGTGCTTTCAAGGTGTGCACGTGCACGCTCGCCGTGCGCTCACAAATGCGAAGCTTGACGCGTCGGCGTGATATCGCATAAACGCGCCTTCCTACCGCTGCTTTCTATCGAAATCGGAAGAAGAGCCCCCAGCTCTCCCTTCTCTTCTCTCTGCACTCCTGCCTTCCGCATACTTCCCAGACGCCGATATTTCACGCGACTCTAATGGATTTAAATTCCTCGAGACCGATGTCCACCTAGCACCTCGTAATTACCTGGCTAAAGTAAAGCTTTAACTGCTGCTGCACTGTTCAACCGTATCACTCGGCTCTGGCGATACGTTTAGAGGTCTGCTGTCGCGCCTCGTTTACGGATAACGCGTTCCTGCCCGTCATAATTATGACGCGTTTATTTATCAATTAACCTATATAGGCGGTGTGTCTGCCGCTACCCAGGAATTTATATCGGTTCGTTATCAACGTTATGACGCGGGGATATCTTTGCGCCTCGGGGATTTATCACAACGTTCGTGAATCCTGATGAATCCTGCAGCATGTTTCAGTGTTGCGTTGAACATTGTATTCGATGTTTGTAATTTCGTTAGAAAGGTTCGTTTGTTTTGCAGCCGCTTAATCCTTTCGCTGCGAAGAGCGTATATACAGGGTGGGCCAAGTAAAATAGGACATCTAATTATGTTCTTTAAACAGCTATGGTGGTACGAGATGAAGGAAATGGCAGAAAATGAAAGAAAGTATTATTATGCAAGTTTAAATACGCATAAATACCTACTGCAATATTTGGTAGAGGAAAATTGTTGACATTGAAAAGAAGAAACGGAAAAAAGTGTCATTTATGAACAGATTTTTCTGTTATCTTATTTAAAAATTTTCTCGTACCACAATAGCTGGAGAAGATAATTAGGTGGCCTGTTTTATCTAGCCCACACTGTATACACGCCCATCTAAAATACGCAATTTATTAATTTATTTGTGCACCCTTCTTTTCGCTCGTTAAATTTGGTAAAAATTGTATTAATTTATGCACAATAGAATTAGAAGCTGTTAGAAGAATGTTTCATAGACACACTCAGTAAGTAATAATTATTGCAAAAGTATAATAAATAAAGTTGATAAATTTATTAACGAAATTTTCATGGTTCTTCGTAGAAACTAATATTACCTAATTTTTTCCCTGAAAAATTTCTTCAATTTATGACATTTACGAAACATTCTTCGTCAAAATTATGTCACATGATAAAATTTTTAAGATACCAATACCAAGTACTTCCAAGGTATATTTAAAAAATATTCGAAGTAAAAATTCTCCGTTTTCAACTGCATCGCCAGTAACACCTTTACGTTTCAACTGATCCATACTTAAAAGGTTCTCGGTACCTTGTCCACGTAACCTGAAATATTTACATCTGAGAAAAATGAACGACGCGACAAAGGGAATCGAAGATGGGATCGTTTTACGTCAAAGAAAATTCGTGCGCTTGCGCACGGCAAAAAAAATTGCAGTTAGTCAAGTGGACAGATGGTGTGTAATTGAAACTACTGGAATATTCTCTTTGTCTCATCTTTCCGCTCTCCTTCCGCTGTTATTTTACCGGCGACAAAATTTCTACCCAACCTTTCGATTCAGAACCGTTTAGGTCCACGTGCTTTGCAAATATTTGGATAAAACAAACAACCAAGTCCCTTTGTGCCGACACTGTACGAATATCAACGCGGATAAATGAATTATGGTCGTATAAAGTGTACAACTATAGAGTACAGAATGCAAGCTGAATAACTAAAAAAAAACACGCGAGATACCTCCTTTGTAGCCGCTAGGAAAAAGTGATGTGCAATATTTTTTTGGAAAAACTGTGCCTTTAACTAAAAAAGGGAAAAAAAGTACATCGAATGTATACGTAGCTAGATTGAAAAATGTCGAAGAGCTACAAAAGTGGATTTCCTTCGGCAGAAATATCTCGCGTTTACAGAAATTTGAAAGAATGTAATTACTTCGTGTACGACGATAACGATACCCAGAAAAAATAAGAGGCTCATCTACGAAATGATGAATTTGAATTTGAAGGGATGCCTTGTTACCCTAAATTGAACCGAAACTTTGTAGCCAGCCATAACGGAGATACTTTAATATGCGTTACAGTAATCTGGTTACAGTGTGTTCAGCGATATTAGCAATAAAATCACTGAGATTGTAGGACGGTGTATATGCGTGACTGGTTCTAGACGAGCGCTTAGTATGATCGGTGTACGCTTGTCCGCTTAGATGAATGCGGAAGAAAAATCGGTTTGAACGGCGGTAATGAGGTTCGTCGTAAATTAGAACGAATGTCCGCGAAGAGCTTGGTATTTCAGCATTTTTTCACAATTGTCGCATCGTCCGTTGGTGTATGTGTATATAGTTGCCGCTGCGGTAGCCGTTGTACGATATCGTGCTGATTTTTCCTCCCCTTCCTTTTCTCTCCCTCTCTCTAAAGTAAGGAAAGTTCAGTGACGCGAGTATAATTAGTCTCGCCGCGATCAAAGCGTTCCAGCGATGCCTTCGAGCGGACGCAAAGTGACAGCGATGATGAAAAACATTGCGTTGCTGGTTAGATCCTGCAGCGTTGGAGAACACGCGAGAAAAATATTTAAATAGAATCGACTGCTGCAGCGTTGTGAATCGAGCGCGCGAAAAATCGGGGGTGAAAAATCTTAAATAGCCGTTCAGTGAAATGACAAACATACGAGGAATTCGGCTCGGGTTAGAGCTATTTCTCTGCAACTTTTCCAGACGGATAGGCTCGCCGTTCCCTTCGGTGTTCCAACTCGCATGAAACGTCGAGGAACGGCCGCCGCCGCTTCATGACCAAGAAACACTCGAGAGTCTGTAGGAGCGTGATGTAACGTCCTCCCTCGATCGAGGAATCCAATAACTGGAAAACGCACCGGAGCGTGTAGAAGAGGTGCCTTCGATTCTTGAAAATCTACTCGTGAGAGACGAGAGAGAGGAAGAGGAGCCATAGCGTGTGTATATGTATGTGTGAGTGTGTCTATTTGTGTGTGTGCGTCGATTCGCGACGAATCTCAGGACGAGTGCGTCCGCCTTTTCTTCCGGCGGATATCGTGGCCGCGACGAAGGGGAAAAAGAACCAGGTCGCCGGAAAACGACCGTCCGCTGAATAGGATTCGCGATGCAGCAAACGAAAAATAGCCACGTTCATACTCACCGGCACAGGAAGTCCCTTTCCCCTAAACAGAGCTCCAAGCAGTGCTGACGCGAGGAGGCATTCATAGTTCTGCGTGTGTGGCTCTGAAGACGATGTCCCTGGACCCTGTCGATGCACCAAGCACGTTCGCATGGTTTCACAGCCAGGCAACTCTTCTGGGCGTAGATCGTGAATACTGGAAACTGGGATTGTGAAAGAGCACCTGGAACAAACAGATATTCGTTTAGGCCCCTAATGCGAAACTCTCGTTTGCGCGTATACAGGGTGGACCGGTAAGAAGTACCAACTTGAATATCTCCCTGGATTCGTGAAAGTGAGAAGAAGAATTTTTTCGAGAAAAATTTCTCGGTATGAAGGGAGCTATTGTTTTATAGATAGAAACCCATAACACAAGCTCAGTCGAGGTCACGGGGTCACTAGAAAAAGGTCATCCTTTTTTATCCAACGACGTGTCATAGTTTTTTGTTTATTTATTAGTAGCAGACTCTATGATAAACAAAGGTCTATAATAGAACGGTATTAAAAGAGCAATTTTAAGTTGGTAATTATGTAAGTTTATGTCATCAATCTTCTACGATCTTGACTGATGTGTTACAGGTTTTTATGTTCATTTTAAAGGGTGTTTAGCAAATAAATAAGAAAATATGATCCAGAAAAAAATCGTTATGACCATACAATGGTCCCTTTGATAGTAAACAACTTTCTTTGGAAACATTTCTTTTTCACTTTCGTGATTATTGAGATGTTAAAGATGGTAATTCTTATTGGTCCACCCTGTATACTAGGAGCATTGTTATTCGTACTATGCTACTCTTCTAAAAGCTACAACCCACCAGTGGTATTCACTTTACTCGAGATACGGAGTATTATCATTTAAAATCAGTTATCTATAAGTAAACAAATAGGAAGATAAAAAAAGTGAAGAATTTATGAGAAATATAAATTTGTGTGGATAACTTTTATTCTTTTTAGACAACACAAGTGTTTTAATATTTATAAACAGAAATTTATTGCAGTTTAGTCACTTCTTTGTTTATTATTTCATTTAAAGACAGTCTCGACGTTCCACCACTACATGCTCAACGTTCTCTCGTTTTTCCATCTTATTTATTTTACGAATTCACAACGTCAACAATTACTGGACAATTTGAAACCATCAGTCTCGAAGTATTTACCCCCTATTCCATACACAAAATATCGTAATAATCGGTTCAATTTTAACGTTCCAAACGTTACCAGACATTTGCAAATGATTCAGCGACATCAACCTGTACGATTGATTTTCTCCGAGGGGTTGGAAATTGCACGAAGCGGTGCTCAAGCCACTGACGTTCTAATTCAACTTTCCAGTTTCAAATTGACGCTGATCAATGCCTGTTATTCTGTCGACGAACCAAAGTATCTTGAACGCGGCAGCTCGTTATTCTTTCCCTGTCGATCCACCGGCTCGAGAGAGCAGGGGGCCGCGTTAAGTGGCGGAATAATTTCTCCGCCTTGATGTCGCTGTCGCGTCATTCCCTTTTACGAAATCATAATTAATCTCGCTGGGGGGCGATAGAAACGGGGGAGAAGAGAGAGAAGAAGGGCGAGGAAGGTGGGAGAAAAGAAGGGGTGGTTTTGAAACGTGATTCGTTGAAAAGTTTACCGCGCGCGCGACACGAGGGGGACAACTAACGAGGTAACAGTTTCACCAAAACACTGGAGCATCGATCTTCCAGAAGGTGCTAAAGATATTCAATTATCTGGCTGTAGATGGCTCCCCGGACTAATGACTGTAGCTAATTTTAATGACCGGTGAGAGACCGCAACGGTAACCGCAACATAAATGAACGTTCCTTCGTTCTGTGGCTTCGACACGATGTCGGATCATTCGTGGAACGTTGGATAGCAGGAAGATCTCTACTCGTTACTAGCTGAGTAGTAAGCGCATTACTGTAATCAGTGGCTACTTCCGGGGGCCTATGCAGAAGACAACTACCATTTACTCGTTATAATGCTACCGCATTACCAGATAATAGAACATCCTAGGATCGTGTAAACACTTTTCAGGTATGAATAGAATTTCATCGGAAGACTGACTTGCTTTCTTTGCCACGTACATATGCCTTGGCGAAATGTATCGGGTATCTTTATTATTACGACTTGCTGCGAAAACTATTTCTCGTCGAATCTTTCCATTGTTCGTCGTCCTTTGTCGGCTGCCTTCAAAGGAATTTTAAAACAATTGACAAGGTTTATCGTGGGATATGAAATAACCGGGGGATTCATAGTCCACGTTTTCTCTTTCTTCCTGAAAGTCGCAGGCTGTTAGCTTGTCTTTAATTTTGCTGTGGATATTTTCAAAGTTAGATCATTTTCTTTGGAATTTGCCGAAAAAGAGTGAACTGAATTTCACATTTGAATAGTTTGATTTTCTCTTAATATAAAAATATATTAAGAGGTGCCTAATACTTTTGGCCAAGTCTGTATATTTTCTTCAGTATTTCTTACTATTTGTTTCAATTCTTCAACCATTCCCAAGCATGAAATTTTTACATCGTATCTAATTTTCGTCTTCGAATAACATTCAAGTAGAAAATATGGAACCTTCATTCTCGCGGTTCCGACGATCGAGAAAATTACGGCAAAAATGTCCAGACCCCCGAAAAAAGTGGGATCGTTTTAGAGGAAAAAAGAGCACGGTCTTCTCAATTATTCGCGTTATCGCGATTTCCCCTGCACCGCCTCTGATTCGTAACCGCTGGCTCAGGTTAATTAAAAATTGACAAAACTGTGTTTCTTTAATTGGCACGAGCTCTATATTTATCGGTGATCGAAACGAGTAGAGTTAACGTGGATACAGGAGTTGACAATTAATCAGCAGCCGAATCGATCCTGTAATTTCACGTTGAATAATCTTTTTAGCTGAACTGCGGAAAGAAGCGTCACACGTAGACCGTGATATTGACCGTTGTTATCGTTCCGTATTTTTCACCGTTCGTTTAACTAGCCCCCTTCCGCGTCGCTCGTTTCGCTATGAAAAATATCCTTCTCGTATCTACTACACCGCAAACTACTGCTGGAATACCTGGACGCCCAAATGCGTGATAAATACCGCTCGTTAAACGTACCGAGGAAGACTAATTTTTCAAGAGGAATTCGACTCTATCGCGAAACAGTTGATGTTTACGATTAATTATCAAGTAGTTTATTCGGTAGAAATTGAATATTCCGCTATTTTCGCTCGTTTTTCGAAATAAGAGGGAAATAGCGATTATAACCATCGATACTGAATGTATTTCTAGTGACTCTGTTTGGCGACATTTTTACTTTCAAAAATTACAGCGGAAAGGGGAAAGTTGGATTTACATCCTCTAAAAAAATTCGAATTTTTCAATTAATAAGTGTCTATGAAAAACATTCTTAAAGTTTGCCTATTTTTAGACGCCTCAGGGGGGTCTACCCCATTAAGTCTGGCCTAATATCGTCCATACTACTGTTACAACTACTGCAGCAACGTTTTTAATTAATAATTTCATAAAACGAGGATGAAAATTTGTCGGGACATTTTGTAAAAGTAATTGGTTCTAACTTTAATTAATTTGTGTTTCGTTTGAGAACCCCAGTAGCACGATTCACACGGATACGAAATGTTTCAGTCAATTTTACAATGGCTAAGCTCGCTAACGTTTCACGAGAAACAATAGAACATCGGGACAAATCATTTTTATTAAGGAAATTTGAATAATTTCCTCGTTTTCGAACGTTACACCGAATATTCGCAGCTTCAACTATCCACGATATCTCGAATTCAACGCGTCGACAGTGTTTACGAAAAATCGTACAACCGAGAAATCCTACACTGTCCACCGATGGAGGAATATGAATTGCTCACCGGGTGTATAAAACGAAGTAAAACAGTAAACGTGTCGAACCGAAACTGTCAATTCCTGAGAGCACGACATTCTGGCTCGGGTCCAGAATTCCCCTTACTTTCTGCTTCCGTTTCTTCAGCTATGGATGCAGATCTCCCGAGCAAGATTGCGTGTAGTCATAAATCTTTTAATTTCTGCTGGAAAACGTAGGACGGTAGGGGATTAACGTGCTTGCTTTGAAAGCTACCGTCTCTCTATCTCTCTCTCTCTCTCTGCAGAACCAGACGTTTCCACTTTCCAAGAAGCAGCAGCAGTAGCAGCATCGTATCGAGTTCATTTCTATCAGCAGGTTATTCGTCCCGTCGTCTTATCGTCAGACCTCTCTTCTCCTGCAAAAATCTTCCGCCTCGGAAGGACGTGCCTCTGTACTTAAGAGAACGAAATAGCTTTATATCGCCATAAATCTGGCAAGATTTATCGACCAAAGCACCGTTCCACCGACATGCTACATCATTTCATACTAAAACACAGGATTCCCCGTGAGCCCGCGCGACTCGAGGAAGTACAGAAAGGGAACTTCCACGTGTAGGTTGTCCCGACGACGGGGGAAATGTGGAACGGCCTGGGCGCATCTGCAACGTCGGTATTATGGAACGGCGATCGCACAAAATGATGCAAGTAAACCGCCTGTGTACCACCGTACCGTGGAACAGTTCGATTTCTGATATACGAGGCACATTTAGATACGATTCAGCCTCAAGTGGCATCCGCAACGTAGCAACGCTAGCCTGTGTGTCCCACCCTACCTTCCCTTCGTCGCGGTGAACTTGATGTATAATCTCGGTTTTCTTTATCTCTCCATATATACCCCTTTTCTCTCGCTTTTTCTCTCCTTCCTGTATATACTCTTATTTCTCTCTGTCCTCCACCTCCTTCTCATCCTCCCTCTTCTCGCTACTCTCTGACTTCCTTTCCCTGAACAAAGGCAATGAAATTCCTTTACTACGTAGACTTTCCGCGCTTCTTCTCCTGCTGCACATTCCGATACAGGGTGGTCCGTTAAACATTCGACTTTAAGAGGGTATTCTGGTTTTCGGGGTGAAAAAATAGATACTTTTTTTTGGTATTTTTTGCACTCTTTGTAGAGGCTGGAGAATGTTTGGCAAATGATTGTTCGAAATTTGAGAAATTGTAAGAGCTGTGAGAGTGAATTCTTTAATCGCGGTTTTTTCGAAACCAAGTTTTTCAAGTCTCTCCCGAGGTTTCCCCGGAAACTAGCGAACCGATTGCTTTCTCCTTTGTACTGCATACTCAGAACATCTATTGCTATCGTTCTAGCCAAAATCAG